TATATATATATATATATATATATATATATATATATATTTTTTTTTTTACTATTCTCTGACGTTAGGATGCTTAGCTGTTGTTTGAGTTGAATGTTTGTAGCCACTCTCAATAGTTAACCAGCAATGATTGTAAGTAGTACAAATTGTTTCTGTACACAATGGATTTGGACACTGAGGAAGGCTGTTAATAGTCTAAACGCATTTGCTAACATCATTTTTAACGATTTAGCCTAAAAGGTTTTTAATTTTCTACCACTTGATTGCCTTCCTTGTTTTTCATAAAAATTTAGACTGATGAGAAAATGACCTGCAAATCTGGCTTCCAACTCTTCACTCTTGTTAGGGACAATATTGTTTGTGGAAGGGACGAATGTACAGCAGGGACAGTGAACGCTGATCTTGAGCCCAAGATTTCTCTCTAAAAGAGAAAAAGATGATTTTTCTTAGAGAAGGAAATACTTCTCATTTTACTTGCTCTTCTGCTTCATTGAGCAGTAAATATATGTTCAAACCTCCGGATGAACTCACTGACCTCTGAAGGCCATCCACTCCTTCACAGTCTCCGTGACGTCGACAGAAAGCCACGCCCCCTTGGCTTGAGGCTCAACTGTTCTGGAGTCGATGTACCTCTGAGACGGTGCTGTCATGTCGTCAGATTTGAGAATCTGTGGGTGTGAAGGGAAAAAAACACAAGCTTATTTACCCATTCATTCATCCGCTGGTCTATTTCTTGCACTATACACCATGAAAAAATATTTGAGGAATCAAACCCTTTCAGCTGCTGTCACACGCTGCTCAACTTTGGAACGACCCAAGCCTTTTGTCTGGAAAAACCACATGCGATTCTCTAACCTGGTATATTTCCACACGCTGCTCTGTGGTGCGCGCCTGTGGGTTTGGCGCTCTGAAGATGCGAAATTCTGCTTTGACCAAAGTACTGGAATTTCGCTCCACATTGGTGACGTCGAAGCCCACTATCCTGAAGTACGGGCTCTGAGGAACAGGGTTGATTGAGTCTGTGAAACAAAAGCAGGATTCACTTTGGCCTTATTTACACTTTGTGGTCTGTGCGTGGTTTTCAGAGGGTCAACCTCAAGGAAATAAAACTTGTCTTGGTGCCAAAGCAGCAGATGTAATGACTAACCCCTTTCAGCTTCTCAGGAGGCCTCACCGAACTCAAGCTGCCTTATTATTAGCAACAAAATTGTATATTATAGGTACACTATATATAGTAGCTGTTAGATCAAATATATGCCTCAGTGATATGCTCAACACTGTACCTTTATTGTGAATATACATATAAACTGTAAGGGAATGTCTCAAAAGCTTGTCCTGGTCATATTTCACCCAAAATCAAAATAAAACTAATAATTATTTTGCATGAAGCATCCTATTATTATTTTTTTTTTTTTAGGGCAACAACAACTGATTTGTATTGTGACACTATTAAAATGAAAATTAAGCACATTTGACCTGCTACTGACAATGTACTTTTTTTTTGCCATTATTTTCAATAGATTTTTAGTTCAGCAATATGTGATTTGTGCAGATTAGAAAAATTGCATTACAGTTTTTTTTTTTTTTTTTTACCATAACACAAAGCAATAAATACCAGAGACAGACCAGTAATCTGTTTAACATTTTATACTGATATTCATACTTTATAACTTACACTTTTCTTTTCCAGGGCACATATTTCTCTAAAGGAAAGCATAAGAAAGGTTATCCAAAAGAAAAATAACTAAATGTATTAAAAACAAAGATGAAAATAAGTTTGACCATTTAGATTGCAAAACAATGGCATTGGACTAATAATTACTCATACATTATGTTTTATTGTGGCAAATTTTATTGTGATCTAATGATCATTTTATTATTATTGTGTTAAAAAGCGAAATAAAAACAGAAAACATCGCATAGCCTAATGGTTATCGGGCATAAAAATAATGTGCATCATATCGGTCATAAAAAGGCAATACTGGTCTAATAAATACTACTATAATTAGAATTTAATAATACAATATGCAATATGAATCATGTTGTTATTGTGTTAAAAAGCAGAAATAAACAAAAACTGAAAATACTGCATATCGGTTATCGGGCATAAAAATAATGTACATCATATTGGTCATACACAGGTTGACATTTTTTTTCATTAAGCAAAATATAATTCCTTATTTATTAATTTCGGGGGTGAAATATAACCCAAACAGGTTCTTGAAAAGTTCCATGAGATTGATTTAGCATTGTAAGAAATATCTTCAATCATCTTTAAATATTTTTTTTCACACACACAACCGATTCGGATGTGCAAGCTAAATTATGCAATAAAATTAGGTTTGACTACACATCCAGAACCACAATGCATTCTTTGGATGGGCATTAATAAACCATTTGCGATAAAAATCCATATCACTCACTCGTATCTGTGCGCAGTGGCATCATATTGATCCGCTGCACCTCTTTGGCGTAATAGTCCTCCTCGCTGCTCTCCCGCTCGCAGGCGGCTTCGGCCTGGCGCGCGCGCTCCTTCAGCAGCTCCTTCGTGCTGTTGTAAAGTAACATCACCTCCACCGGTACCGACTCCGATGGCGGGCTGGCTTCGGGATCCTGAGGACTCCGGATGCGCAGCTTGCTCAAAATCTGTCCGCGCACCGCCTCAATCCTTTTAGATTTGTGGTCGGCCAAGTTGTAGGACTGGCACGTGGAGAATCCGTCCGCAGACACGGACAGTTTGAGAACGAGCAAAGTTAGATTGATGAACCACATGTTCGATTGACAGATGAGAGGGTCGGAAGGAAGCGCTCCTCTATAACGCTGGATGTCCTCGGGGAGCACGCACTGAGCGCGTCTCTCGCAATGGGCCAAACCCAAAGTGCGTAGGCTGCGCTGGTCGCGCTCAGTGTTCACCAGGTGAATGAGCCGCTCTGCTGTCAGATACGAGCTTTTACCCCTCGTACACTGCCTGACATGTCATCTATGTGCTCTTGTAATCTTTTAGAAGACTGCTGAGCTCAATGTGGGAATTCCACGCTAACTTAAAGGAGATCAGGAGGTAATTTTCGAGGTGCAAACGTTTAAGGTACTGCTTATGTAACGTATGTTGGCATCCCTAACAATTAGCAAAACGAGAACGGTCTTAAATACTTAAAAATCAAAAGTGTTTTTGTAATCTATTTATAAAATAAATATACAATGAAGTAGCCTACTTAGCTTTATGTTTAGTCGCTAAACCAAAGCAGAAATCGATCGCGCAGCACGCCGTTGCTATAGTAACCTCCTTAGGCTACGACGTTATAAGCTAGGCGTCGGGATCACTAAAATGATTGTATAGGCTTTTTGGAAACTTATGTTGAACTTAAACAATTCGGTATAAGTAGCCTACTTTCTAAGACCCTAACCGTTTGTTTGGACTTTTTTATGGTTCAAACCCTTCCAAAAGCCCTCGGTAATTCACACCCTGCCTGAGCTAGGCTACTTCGGGTAAAACAAATGTTAAATATTGGCCAGATTTCTGTGCATGTTGTGATGACAAACAAAATACAAGCGTGCATTATTACAAACCATATGGAATCTATAAGCAGAGCCTTTCCATCATGCTTCCCGGGGTTTTGAGTATTTACCGGTAAGGTAATGAATGGAACAGTTCCTCATGCTCGTCTGGTATCCAATGATTCAGAGAGAAACTCCAAGTGCTGCTTTGAATTCTTGTGGTTTGTCTTGGAGCTTTACTGAGGACCGCTAGAACTTTCTTTTAAAGTGACTCTCCAGCTCCTTTCCCATGATAGCTATAAGAGATCAGGTCAGATTTGATTCTCTTTTCTTACAGCCTCAAGTCAAGAAGCAGATCTGCCATCCAAATGTTCAATCAAGCCCTTGAAGTTGCTTTAGGAAAATAAAATTATCCCATGACAAAGACTGACTGTCTCCAGCAGCATAAAGTTGAACTGGATTTAATATAAACAGAATGAAAAAATGCTAGTCTAGGCTTGGCCTACCAGAATAGATCTTTTGTGAAGAGTAATCCATTTAAACGGAGAGAGGGGAAAACTAGACCCTCAAGAAACACGTCAGACGTCAAAGAAAGTCTTTGAAGGTGTGAACTTAACTACCTGGCTATAATTGAAAAAACTCTTAGGCTTTCAGAGCTATCAAAAACATCTCTTCAACAAAAGCCCCTAAAGTTTTTGAAAGGAAGAAAAAAAACATACAGCAGCTGTGTGTGGGAGAGAAGGAGGGAGGGAGGGAGAGGACAAGAGAAGCACAGAAAACTACAAGGATGAATTACTAGGATGTCTGGAATGATAAAAAAGGACAGATCTTTTGGAATTTAGTTTTAAACATGTCAAGTCCTTAAATATAATAAACATTGATTTAATGATTCAACTCAACTGGTTTAAACATTGAGTGAAAAGTTTTAACATATTGCACAACTTTATCATTTTTCAAATTTATCATCAACTTAATATTTTCCTACATTTTTTGAGTCATGAATTATTAGGAGTTTAGGGTTGCTCCATTTAACCTGAGGGGAAAAAACGCCATATACTTCAAAGCATGTTGCTTATGCCAAACTGACTTTGATTTGGTTGGCAAATGTTAACCTTACTGTTTGTTGTGAAAGAAATAATGATAAAATATTATTCCAAACCATTATTATTAAAACATTTTTTTTTTTCATTTAAGTCAACATTTTAATGTTTTTTTACTATCTCCAGACATTTACACAACCTAGATAGTCACCACAAAAATATCAAAATTAACTGATTCAGAAATTTAAAACATGTTCATGTGATATTTTTCCTTATTTATATGAATTACATTTTAATGCATTTTGAATAACTTCATAGATCTTTATAGAAGCTTTGTTAAGCATTATATAATAAGTTCGGTAGTGTTATCATAAAAAGTCACCAAAACAAAGCTGCAGAAGTCTATTTAGCAGTTTTCCTGTGACATGTTATGTCAGTATTTCTCAGACTTTTCCAGACAGCACCACCACACTTTTTTGGAATCTTTCCTTGGCAACCGTGTTTCCAAGCAGCAGCCTGATACTTAACACAAACCTTTACAATCTTTACAGTCAAATATCCACCACAGCAGGCTGAAGTTACTGACTGACTGCTTCTTAAGTTGTTTACCTTGGAAATAAGACAATGTGCTGTTCTAATCCAATATTTCCCTCATGCATTTAACAGACCCACTGGACACATTTAAAATAGATTTACTGGAAATGAATTTCACCTTCCATTTTGTTTCCTGGAGAGAAATGATAGCTATCCAAGGCCTCAGTCTAGGTTTCCCCATCCATTCATTGTAGGTACACACTTCCTTACTTTACTTCCACTCCCTATCTTTCTTCTCATTGTTAATTACAGTTCACCATCTACATGATCGTTAATCTTTCAAAAACAGCTTTATAGCTGCTCTCTCCACCTCTCCATTATGACATTATTATAGTTTGGCCAAGAGGGCTATAACTGAACTTCACGAGAAGGCAGAAGGAGTAAGACACCAAAAGCCTTTAAGAAATTAGATATTAGAGACCAAAAAGAGACACCAGAGGGCTGGAAGTTTTCTAGGGCTGATATAATTGGCAAAGAACGGCTATTTTCTTGTTTAAACATGAATTCAGCGTTTGATCTCTGATTCTGAAAGGGAGCCTCGAGCGCCACCAGGCGGCCGCGGACGGATGAAAGGCCGCAGGGCCGCTCTGGTGGTTCTTTGCGGTATTGCAATATACGAGTTCAAATAGAGAGCTCGAAAACAGCTTATCCCGGTTTTTTCTTTTAACCTCCCTCAAACTAAATATAGTCGCGGCCTTGCCACGACATCTTGCTCTCAGAGGTTTCTGTGATATGAAAAAGTCCTTGGCAGAGCCATAAAACTACTACAGCTGACCTAGATCATCTCAATGTTTACACAGACAAATATAACGAGAGCTAATGAGACTACAACAGCTTCATTACCTTAGCTACTGGGTTATTATTGTAACTAAAACTACTAAAAACATTATTGTTCAATGAAATATAGCCGAAATAAAATAAACTATAAATATAAGATGACAAACATTACAAAATGAAAAACTGAAACGTTAACTTGACAACCAACTAAAGTAAGTTTAAGTATGTTAAGTAAGTTAAAGCACTAAAATTACTAACTGGAAATAAAAACTAAAACTGAACTAAAAACAAAAATTAACCACTCTCTATATAAACTGTATAAAGGCCTATCTGCAGTTAATTATTTTAGTGCTTAAAATTGCATTTAAAAAAAAATGACGCATTTTAAAATATGAATATAAAACATTATTTAGGCCTAAAATCTCACAATTTAGGGACAGATCAGTATTTTAGCATTAATTTCCATAAAATAACTTGGAGACATAAGCAACTGAAATAAATAAATATACACACACACACATGATTAAAAAAGTAATTTTTGCCATTATCATTTGCAGGTCGCACCAACAAGTAATAGAAGACGATTTGCATATAAAAAAAGAACCTTCTAAAGCCTAACTTAATCAATACAAACGTATTTAATATTTTACAAAGCACAATTTACAATGACAGAAACAACAAAAAGAAAATTCTCATAGCAACCAAATGCAAAGCAACCACATGTTTGGAGACAGTAGTTGAACATGACTGTGTAAATCAGAATAACTTGTGAATTATGGTCTTATGTTTCTCTCCATTATCCTTTGAATAAAAATGGCCCCCCGAAAGTTTCTAAAATAAATGTGGGTCTGATATTCAGTATCTTTTCTTCTGGGACGCGTGTAGCAGCTTGATCTACTCGTCTTCAATGAGTAACATGTTAGGAACACCTTTGGAGATGGGGAACTCTCTGCCAGATTCAGGACACTGTAAACATCCCTCTATAACCTCAACCTATGAGGAGAGAACACTGCTATTAGCACTAATTCACTTAAAGTTCATTCCATAAAATATTAAATATTTATGTTGAAATTGGGTTTGCACCAGGGTTATTACGGTTAAATAAAACCATAAAAAAGTTTGTTACTTGAACTAAAACTACAGACATAAAAAAAAAACAATAACAAAACTTTAAAATTAAAATGGAGAACACAAAAATAAAAACGAATGGAAAAAAAAAAAAAAAAAAATCTTGATTCTTTCTGAAATTTTGTAAGTTCTGTAACTGTAATGGGTTTCTTAGCCATAACTGTGTTGCCAAGGATTTTCCAGAGATTTTCAATTGGGTTTAGATCAGGACTCTGGGCCAGCCATTTCATTATTTCAATGTTCTTAGCTTTAAGGAACTGCTTTACCCATTTTGCAGTGTGACGGGGACATTGTCTTGCATGAAAATTGCAGGCTGATTGGGAGATGCTTGCAGGGAAGGTACTGCATGTTGCTGAAGGAGGTTCTGATAAACATTTGCATTCACTCTGCCATGTATCTGTATAAGAGACCCAACTCCTGCTGCAGAAAACATCCCCCAAACCATGACACTTCCTCCTCCACCTTTCACTGACTTCTTTACAAAATCTAAAAATAAAAAAAGAATTCAAAATATTGATTAAAAACTATTTTTTCTCAATTATACTATAATATCACTTTCCTTTTTGTATTTTGTGGTAAAATCTTTAATTAAAATTAAAGGGAAAAAAAAAAAAAAATAAATATATATATATATAAACTAAAACAGTAACATTAAATAACATTTGCTTGTACAGAACAAATATTGAATAACAGAAAACAAAACATGAGGCACAAATCTAGTTTTATTTGTCACACATCATAAATAGTAGTATGAAAAAGAGCTTGCACTTCTGCTGTATTTTTAATAATGGAGCCTTTTCCCAAACTGTGATGTGTTTTTCACAGTTGTTAACATTGTAAATCTAGCAAAGAGTTTTTTATATTTTCATCACAAAATGTTTATGTACATGTATAACACTATACTTTGCGTTTTCTTACCTTGGCATTAAATTACAGAAAACATTATTTGGCAAATTTGACATCTTTCTCTCTTCTGACCAACATAATCAATCTTTCAATTTTTTTCCCCTCTTTTGAAGAGTCACAGAAATGCTAGAGTGAATTTTAGTTTTTGCTACTGGGACAAATGGGAACAGATATTTCTTATAGACTTCTGATTCTGAGAACCCCGGAAATGTGAAAAGGACCCAGAGGAAACAACATTCAAGACTTTCTGGAAGTTTACAAATTAATTTCTTTGAAAATGTTGTTCATCTGATGTGTCTCACCTCCAGAAGAATTCTGTGAACTTTATGCAGGAACTCCTCATCATTTTCATAGTTTGGTATGAGAGTGCTGGGCAGGTCTTGAGATCGTCCGAGCTGTTAAAAACACCCCATGAGTATCCCACAATCCACCAGTTTAATGCAAATATCAGATGATACTCGTATATCATACATAGACAAAAAACCTCCTGCTTTTTAAACTGTACTTACTGGAAGGCTGTACAAATTCACCCTCCTTAATAAATATAATTGAAATGACATGAAACACATTATCTTCACTCACCCATTCTGCTGCCTGGATCAATGCGTTCCACTCCAGCTTAGGAATCATCCGGCTCACAAACTGAGCATTGAACTCCAACTCATTCACTTTCACTTCTGTTGCCTTCATTCATGAGCCAAGACAGAACAAATGTCAGATTAGTCATTCAAAAGCATTAAACACACACACACACACACACACACACACACACACATATATATGTGTATATTTATATATATATATATATATATATATGTGTTCTCTAATTTGGATAAGAATACTTTTTCAAATATCTCATTTAAGTTTTTATACTTTGCTTCAGAATACAATTAATTTATGAAATATGCTTAAAAAAACGGACCTTCTACTCCTGTTAGGATAACTTCAAATAGGACTAAGCAGTGAACTAGAAATGTAGGAAATTGTAGGTTGTTCTATAGGTGCATATTAATATGTATTTATCGTGGGCAGTTGACATTTAAAGCTCTAAAACTCTTAACATCTAACATGTTAATTCACGAGTTTAACATTTGTAACATTCATGTAACATTTGCACTTTTAAACATGAATTTGTCACACTGCAGGACTACTTCAAAAAAGCGATTAAAATACAAGACATAAATACACACTTTCCCTTATTCTGTCACATATCTTCAGGCTTAAAGAAAAGGTTCATGGACATTTAGGTTCCCTGTAACTTTCTGATATGAATTTGTGATTTTTGAGCGATGATTTCGGAGGAAGATAAAGGCGGTTTGGAATTCGCCCTAAATTACTGCTGCATTAATGTGCATCTCAAAAATAATTAACTTATAATGAAAACACTAAGTCCATCTCACCTTGATAATAAGTGGGTATCCTTTAGTCACACCTTTCACGTGGGATGTTAACATGTTATGCGTTAACAGCTTCATCTCGGCAGTATGTGGCTATATATTTCAGAAACAAAGCACGAACGTTTGATGCTTATAGAAGCGTTGAGTTACAAACAGAATCATACACATGCGGTTTCGCGACGACTGTGTGCAACTACTAAAACAAGCACCCTGAGAAACAAAGCGTGCTGTATTTGGTTCCGCATGCAGAGCTAGCCGGCTAATAACCGCATAATGTCGTTATAAGTGGAATATCTGTAATAATTTCAATTTAAGATGTAATATTACGGCTAAATCACAGTGACTAACTTGCTGAGTCTAATTTACTATTATACAAATGTGTGTTTCTCTAGTGGTTTTGAATGTGTCAAACGTCTTGTTCAAAAAGGTGTTAAATTTTCATAATGTCCTCCAAACTAAAATTTAAAATCCTTTTTGTAATAGCGGCTGGGTAACAAACACAATAAACCCACACATTTTTTTACACGTACTATTAACATTACAGATTATATGATGGGTAAAACAAGGGTGTGATATAACTAGCCTAAATCATTTGACATTTTTGCTAACTATTTAGACTAATGAATCATGTAGTGTGTTGGTTGTAGACTATGTACATTTGTAAATGCATATCAGAGAGAGAAAAAAAACTTTGCTGTGAAACAAAACTGTCACATAGCATAAAATGTATGTTTAAATCTATTAATGTAACTTTCTAGGATGGTACAGAAATAAAAATCTGCCTTAAGCTATATAAAATGATTTATTAAATCACACTATTGCCTATGTGGATGCAACATTTACAACATTAAACAGTAAAAAGCAATATTTTTAAATGCACATTTTTATTCCTTTTTTGTATTAATTTGTTTACACATCATCTTGGTACTATACAGGTAATTCTTACAGCGTATGATATAGTTGTAATTACAGAAGAAACAAATGCACACTGATAGCTATGAATTGCATAGCCAGCCAGTCAACCATCAATACACAAGCATGCATGTCCTTTAACACTCACTCAAACACACGCTGTACACACTTAGACAAATAAAAACACGCCAAAATCTCACTTCCCTCACAGTGTTATGCAAATAACAAAAAAGTGAATGTAACATTACCCATAAGCCCTTTGTCAACCGACCCACTCCCCAACGCTTCTTGCTCAACATCAACCGTTTTTACATTTCAATAGCTGTTATTACACATTTGAAATAAAATATTTAAAACATGTAGGAAGGCAACTAATGAGCTGAAAGCAAGCATGCAGGATTTAGGAGTAAATGGCAGATAAAAGGCTGAATCTGTCAAGAACATGTCTAGGTCATATTTCACCACAAAACAAAAGAAAAACGATATTTTACCTAAAGAAAATAAAGTTTGAATTATGCATTTTTTTAAATGATAATTTAATCACATTTCGATCCACAAATCCCATTATTGTAAAGAAAAAAATCTCATTCTCATTACGGCAATGTGAAAAAATATTATAATTAATTAGCAAAGTATTTATTTATAATGATGGTGTGTGCACCATATATATATATATATATATATATATATATATATATATATATATATATATATATTGATATAACTTCATTTTCTTTATGTAAAATCGAATTACTTACTTTTATCTTTTGATTTTGGAGTGAAATATGACCTGGACATTTTGCAAAATTCACCCAAAAAGGACAAGACAACAACTCTTCCATCAAATTCTGAAAGACATAAAGATGAATAGAAAACATGAGCGATCCCCCTCCATACAGAGACTGACTGCATCACTCAAATAACGAACGCATTAGTTTAGGCTTTAAGAGTTTAAAACAAGATCTTTATAATATCAGTGAAGTAGAATTATGGCACAAAGACATCAGGATAGAGAGGACAAAGAATCACTTTCCTAGTGTTAAATGAAAAGTATGGTAAGTCCACCACAATGCATTTATTGAGTGTTTCACCTTACCTAGATCAGTAATTAACTTCAACATTAAGTTTGAAATACTTCAGAGGGAGAATAGCGATTCAATCAGATGTTAAATGAGTGTTTCGGAGAGGGGAAAGAAACATCTGGTCTTGAGCTCACAGGTAAACAGAGTTATAGACTGATATGATTGCATACGTTTCAATACGACAAGATGAGACTGAGCTGCACTTGGCTGTCTAGAGCGCTCCACTTCTAGCAAAAGTGTAAGACCAAAACATTTGCATTGCATGAAACAATGTGTGCAACTATGTGGAAGCCACGTAAAAATGGTTGTTTCCTTTTTTTTTGTCCTTTGTTTTTGCATTGATACTCACAGATGAACTCGCATTCACACTCTCACATTCATACTAACAAAAATTAGACTTCATTAACGCCAGTCAATCTCATTCTTGGCCATCTTCGGTGCGCCATTTTAAGAAGTCCTCTTTCCGCGCATCTGGTTTAATTTGGTTCCGCATTCCTCCCAGTAGGTTTGAAGTGGCCTCTGAGGCAACTATAAGTGGACGGACCACGGTGGGTGGGATCTGGCGCAAAACTCCGCCCACCGCTCCAGGAAGACCTTTCTGCTCGTGTCCACGAGACGCAACATCACACAGGGTCTGAGCGGTGTCAATCACTCCCTGGGAAAGGCAAAGATGGCATGAGGACGTCAAATTAAATGATAAAAAGAGTTGGACTAGAGATAAACACTTTACATTACACATCTATTAAACTAAATAGTCACAGAGATGAACATGTTGTCAATAATATAGGGATGTACCTCTCTGACGGTATCATAGGCCTTGGCCACTCCCTCCCTGAGATCAGCTGGTTGAGGGGTGCGTCTGGGACGGGGAGTGGGACGTCCATCAGTGATGTAACGTGTCAGAGGTGGAGTCGGAGATAAGATGTCATACACTGTCTCCGCAGTGGCCTGGAAATATACATAAAAAATTGAATATTAAATATATAAATATAATAAAAATGTAAAATTAATCCAACAAATATAGCAATATATAACTTAAACATTAAAATATGTGACCCTGGACACTTTTGACACTTATGAAAAAAAATTTCAGATGCAACGGGGGAAAAAACGGGATAAACACAAACATGAAACTTGTAAATAAAATAATCTGATATATAGCCTATGTGACCCCCACAAAACCAGTCATAAGTGTCAATTTTTTGAAATTGAGATTTATACACCATCTCAAAGCTAAATAAGCTTTCAATTGATGTATGGTTTGTTAGGATAGGACAATATTTGGCCGAGATACAACTATTTGAAAATTTGGAATCTGAGGGTGCAAAAAAATCTAAATATTGAGAAAATAACCTTTAAAGTTGTCCAAATGAAGTTCTTAAAGGGGTCATATGATGCGATTTAAATTTTTCCTTTCTCTTTGGAGTGTTACAAGCTCTTGGTGCATAAAGAAGATCTGTAAAGTTGCAAAGACTAAAGTCTCAAATCCAAAGAGATATTCTTTATAAAAGTTAAGAGTCAACCACGCCTACCTAAAACGGCTCGTTCTAACACGCCCCCACATGTCTACATCACGATGTGGGAAGATTTGCATAACGCCGCCCAAATGTTCACGCAAAGAAA